AAACTAGGTGTCAAACAAGCAGAAATTTTTCGCCGACAACTTCATAAAGTTATCAAATACACAAAAACACTAATGTCCCTCACGGAACATAAACTTAAGTACAAAATGTATCGTCCAATAACGACACATGTTCAATTTTTACGAATTTAACCGAAATATTAGAGTAAAAAGCTAGAATATGGGTGTCGCACACCCAGGGTGCGGTTTAAGGGTTAATTTTGTTTTTTTATTTATTTTTGTTTTTTATTTAAGTTTATTTTTTATTTCTTTAGTTTTCTATTTATTATTGCTTTTTATTTAATTTTGTTTTTTCTTTATTTCGTTTTTCAATTATTTTAGTATCTATTAATTCTTAAATTAATTTTGTTTTCTACTTAGTTTCGTTTTTTACTTATTTTTTCTTTTTATTTACTTTTGTTTCTATTTATTTTTATTTTTTATTTAATATCGTTCTCTAATTATTTTTTTTCTTAAATTGTTTTTTATTCATTTATTTTTCTTTACTTTTTCATTTTCTCTACCTTTTATTTGCTTTTCTTTTTTTTTTATTTTCTTTCCTTATTTTATTTTTGACTTCTTTCATTTTTTATTTTCTTAATTTACTTGTACTCTATTTCCTTCTTTATTATGTATTTTCCTGTTACTTTGCATTTTCGGATTATAATTTTTTTTCGATATTTAGAGCACTTTTTTTAAATTTAATATTTTTTCTCAATAATAATTTTTGTAAATAATTTCTTTTTTCCCAAAAAGATACAAGTGATCTTGTTATTTACATTTATTTATTTATTAAATCTAATTATCACAGTTCGTTAATCTTTTTTAATAATACAGTGTAATATTAAGTTTTAAATTGCGGAGATATGTACAACGTATATTAATAATAAAAAACATTAATGAGCTTACATTAAGAAATGGAATATATTAAGCAGTGCAATAAAAGTGAGGTTAGATAAATCATCATAGCGATTGAGCTATGAAGAACAATATTTATTATAAGCAAGCTGCTTTGTTTATAAAAATATGAATCGTAAAAATGTTGAATTATTTTAAATTATTGAATTTAATGCGATAATATAATAATTTTGATTTAACTTATGTTAAACATAATTTAAATATTATTAAAAATAACAAATCAGACAGAAATGTAATTTTGGTTGAAGAATTGAAGAGAATGAATTGAAGTGAAGAATTTCCAGACTTGTAACTATTGTAGACGCCAAAAATCTATTTTGGCCTGTCTTATTTATGGTTTATATCCTTTCCTAAAAAATAAAATATTTGTATTGATGTGACAAAAATTATACTATATAGTGTTTATTAAATATTATTACAAAGCCCTAAATACATACTGCTTATTGACTCCGATATTTCTCGAGTGTATTTTTAAACACATTTCTCTAGCGTGTTTCTCAACAATACTGTCTCCATGTAACATTTGACTTCCCGTAAGAATTTTATTAAGATGTTGACACCACTGACTAATTACATGTTTGACTATTAGCCAGATATAATTGTCAACTAATAAGGGTGAAGTCCCATGGCAGCGTTTTGCGTTGCGTTTTGTAACTAGGCCATGAGTGCAAATATAGCAAACGTATATCTCTATCCCTCTCACACTCATTGCCTAGTTACAAAACGCAACGCAAAACGCTGCCATGGGACTTCACCCTAAGTCTTTATGTTTGGTACATTGAAGCCACTCGAAATCGAAGCCACTCTTTGTAAGAAAAGCTACCAGAGTGGAACCAAGGTTTCTCTGAAAACAAATTCTTAGTAACTTCCTGTAGATGACATTACAGGCTTGCGTATAGCCACGTTCAAAATAATCTAACGCAGCTGTTTTTATGTTGATTTGATTGTCTTCACTTCTTTCATCAACAAAGAACACTTTTTCGCAATCTGAGCAGTTTTGACAGTTATATTTATGCAGAAGTGATCTCGCAAACGATGCAGCATTGCGTAAGTTAGTTTTAAAACTTAAACGAGATTTTTTGAAACTTGGATTCGGCGGATGTTCCGGCTCATCGTCTGCGTATTCAACTTTCGCACGATCTGCCTCTTTATTTCCACCACTGTCTACAATTGTAAGTAATGAAAATAGTGAGGATCCACAGTCCTCTTTGCAATTAGCGCCAATAGCATGTGGAGATGTGAGATTATTTATAATCTGCCTGAGAGCAATTTAATTTTGTGAATCGACCGCTATGGCTTCTAAAAATTCCGAAAAGATTTTCCAAGCAATCTTGATTCATCAAGCCCAATTTCAAGTGAAAGAATCCATTTTTCTCACATTTTTCCCAAACTTTTTGGAAACCATCCAAAATCTGAGGCCATGCTTTTAAGCAGGGAGGATCTGGTAGTGGTTCGTGCGTCTTTTTGTCGACAAATTTCATTTGACTTAAGGTATTTTTTGCTTCCTTCCAAAATTTGATATGAGGACTGCCATTACAAATCACGCCTCGTAATGGCTTTTTTAGGTCAATGTCTTAAACATTAATGGAGTCAAAAAGTTTGTCTTGAAAAAGGCAAAATAACGCAGTCTCCTTAGCATCGCTTGTCAATTTTAAAGGCCCCCCAGGTGCGAATTTAGGTTGGCCGCCACAGTTTGAAGGTTGGCCCAAGGTTGGCCTAACTTTAGCAAACAAAGTTTTGGTTGCCAGAGTTTGCCCAACTTTAGCAAGTACTTGTGCCCACAGTTGGCCCGACTTTGCAAGCCAACCATTAAATGCAGAGTTTAACCAACCGTCGGGCCAACTTTGGCGACAAAGGTTGGCACAACTTATCCAAACGTAGTTTAAAAGACTTTCAGTTTCGGTTGGCCGAACTCTGGGGCACGGTTGGCCCAACAGTTGGCAAAACTATGTGAAACGCAGTTTAATTGACTTAAACTTTCTTGGTTGGCCGAACTCTGGGCCACGGTTGGCCCAACGGTTTGCAAAACTCTGTGAAACGCAGTTTAATTGACTTGATTTATCTTGGTTGGCCGAACTCTGGGCAACGGTTGGCCCAACGGTTGGCAAAACTCTAGAAACGCAGTTTAAATGACTTAAACTTTCTTGGTTGGCCGAACTCTGGGCCACGGTTGGCCCAACGGTTGGCAAAACTATGTGAAACACAGTTTAATTGACTTAAACTTTCTTGGTTGGCCGAACTTTGGGCCACGGTTGGCCCGACGGTGGGCAAAACTTTGTGAAACGCAGTTTAATTGACTTGATTTTTCTTGGTTGGCCGAACTCTGGGCCACGGTTGGCCCAACGGTTGGCAAAACTCTGTGAAACGCAGTTTAATTGACTTAAACTTTCTTGGTCGGCCGAACTTTTGCCACGGTTGGCCCGACGGTGGGCAAAACTTTGTGAAACGCAGTTTAATTGACTTGATTTTTCTTGGTTGGCCGAACTCTGGGCCACGGTTGGCCCAACGGTTGGCAAAACTTTGTCAAATGCGGTTTAAATGACTTAAACTTTCTTGGTTGGCCGAACTCTGGGCCACGGTTGGCCCAACGGTTGACAAAACTCTAGAAACGCAGTTTCATTGACTTAAACTTTCTTGGTCGGCCGAACTTTGGGCCACGGTTGGCCCGACGGTGGGCAAAACTTTGTGAAACACAGTTTAATTGACTTAAACTTTCTTGGTTGGAAGAACTCTGGGCCACGGTTGGCCCAACGGTTGGCAAAACTCTGTGAAACGCAGTTTAATTGACTTGATTTTTCTTGGTTGGCCGAACTCTGGGCAACGGTTGGCCCAACGGATGGCAAAACTCTAGAAACGCAGTTTAAATGACTTAAACTTTCTTGGTTGGCCGAACTCTGGGCCACGGTTGGCCCAACGGTTGGCAAAACTATGTGAAACGCAGTTTAATTGACTTGATTTTTCTTGGTTGGCCGAACTCTGGGCAACGGTTGGCCCAACGGTTGGCAAAACTCTAGAAACGCAGTTTAATTGACTTACATTATTTTGGTTGGCCGAACTCTGGGCCACGGTTGGCCCGACGGTTGGCAAAACTTTGTCAAATGCGGTTTAAATGACTTAAACTTTCTTGGTTGGCCGAACTCTGGGCCACGGTTGGCCCGACGGTGGGCAAAACTTTGTGAAACGCAGTTTAATTGACTTGATTTTTCTTGGTTGGCCGAACTCTGGGCCACGGTTGGCCCAACGGTTGGCAAAACTATGTGAAACACAGTTTAATTGACTTGATTTTTCTTGGTTGGCCGAACTCTGGGCAACGGTTGGCCTAACGGTTGGCAAAACTCTAGAAACGCAGTTTAATTGACTTACATTATTTTGGTTGGCCGAACTCTGGGCCACGGTTGGCCCGACGGTTGGCAAAACTTTGTCAAATGCGGTTTAAATGACTTAAATTTTCTTGGTTGGCCGAACTCTGGGCCACGGTTGGCCCGACGGTGGGCAAAACTTTGTGAAACGCAGTTTAATTGACTTGATTTTTCTTGGTTGGCCGAACTCTGGGCCACGGTTGGCTCAACGGTTGGCAAAACTTTGTCAAATGCGGTTTAAATGACTTAAACTTTCTTGGTTGGGCGAACTCTGGGCCACGGTTGGCCCGACTGTTGCAGCTTAAATATACATTTTGCGTTATGCACTCCCATGTGAGCGTAGCGTAGTGGTCTGTGTATAAGTCTTCGGTGCGTTAGGTTAGGGGTTCGATCCCAGCGAGCGATAGATATTTTCGAAAATGTATGTATGAGATTGTGTTTAATAATAATAGGTAAAGGTTATATCTGATGTTCCCGCTAATAATAACGTGTTAATTGTTTAAATAATGTAGTTTTTTAATAATTTTTTACCTTTGGCTGTTGAAGTTGGCCAAACTTTGAAAATTGTGGTTGGCCCAACTTACGCATCTAAAGTTGTGCCAACTTTGGCGTCAGTCTTTGGACCAACCATTGAAATGTATAGTTGGCACAACATATGCATTGTAAGTTGGGCCAACTTCCTTATGTGTTGTCGGGCCAACCATCGTCGCCATTAGACGGTCGCCGTTATCATCTGTATGGTTGGCCCAACCTCTGGCACGAGAAGTTGGACCGACTTTGTAAAAGTTGGCCCAACTATGGGCCGACCAAAAAATCGCACCTGGGCCTCTTGGCGTTTGAACAGTTTCTGTAAGAAAATAAAACATAATTAATGAAAATTATAACATGTAAGTTATGTATACAATAATAATTAAAAAATAAGAGAAAAACAACGTTATAAATGTCACATTTTTTTGAGTTTTATATATTTTTTTTTTTTTTTTTTTATTGTTTATTGTTTATACATGAAGATTCTTTATCCGAAACAACATTTTTACGAATTGTCAGTTATATAAAATATCATTTTTACAAATTGGCACTTTTGGGAATTGGCATTTTCCCGAAAAAATGATAATAATTACAAATGACCTTTGGCAAAAGTAACAATTCGTAAAAATGACAAATATCAGATTTCAACAATAATAATTCGTACAAGTGACTATTCAAAAAGTAAAAATTCGTAAAAATTAATTCAGGTTTTCAAAAATTTTAATAAAACAAATTCTTCTGATATTTATTAAATTTTTTAATATTATATATTTAATTAATTATTAAAAATAGTGGATTTATTGACAAATTTTTCTCAAGAACACTAAAAAAAAATTAAATTTTGGAAAAATTATAAATGATTGCATAAATTCTATTATTTTCAAAAGTAATTAAATTCTTTTACAAAATTATTTTTAAAGCTTTTAATAAAATTCTTGTCAAAATTCAATTTTTAAAAAATTCTTGAATTAATTGCAAAAAAGATAATATTATTTAATTAAAAAATAGTAGGTAATAATATTAGTAGTAGGTATTAGAAGTAGGTGTAATATTATCTGTCAAAACATATAAAAAAACAAAAGTCTAACTTCAAGTGTGGATACAATACGACGATTATTATAGTTAATAATAATACTCTTTTATAAATTATCAATATAATAATAATACTGTACCACCAAGGCGAATTGTTTCCAAAATATGTATGGCCATAGTCTCACTGAGCGTTTGTGCACATACAGAAACTTTCATTTTTTTAATTTTGCCGGGTCGTATATGTTCTTCAGTCAGTTTTGTTGCAGTGAATCGCAATGCTGGTCCATATCGAATGCATCTTCAATCACATCCCAAGATGCATATTTTCTTTTCACAGGAAAATTTCGACTAGCGTCAACGAAATTTGTGACAATGTCTTTAACAGAAAAATTGTTTCGGACACTTTTGAAGACATGGACAGGATCGAAGACCATAATTATTTTAACACCTACTACTTCCACTTCAACAGGATGTCCTAGAAAATTTCATTATTATTTTATTAGGGGAAGTGCGCCGGTTGTGGGCACCCTCCGGTTGTGGGCACCCCTACGTAAACTTCGACGGCAAGCAGACTTTACTGAACTAAGTATTGCAAGTCGTGTTCGTTGACAATACGGACTTTTCGTATTGATAACGAGACAAATATATGCATTTGTGTAATAGCTGTGAGCATAATAAAGAAAATTTGCATTAAATAAATAAAAAAGTAATTTTGTATTGTTTTCGAAGAGCAACATATGGATGTAGATTCGTTCAGAAAAAAAGGGTTTAATTTTTTTTTTGCAGTGTTGTCATTATATTTTGTGATTTACCTTCGTGTTTAACCAAAATCCTGCATCACAAAATGTGTTGGTCTTTTTAAAAAATGACTGTCATTCCCGGTTGTGGGCACCTTTATGTTAAGGAGGCTCTACCATCTGACAATGATGAGGACTACTGTCTCATCTATCTAAACTTTCTGCCAAGGAAAGTGACAGCCGCAAACTCCATTAAATGCGATGAATATAGTCGTTCAGTGCATTAGAAGTGCGTTATGGTATGCGTACTAGCTACTTCACATGCAAGCATTATGCTTTTGTTAGCGATGAGCATAGTGTGAAAACGTGTCATCATTTTTGTTCTTTATCCCGGCAAATTCTCTTAAAATAAAGAAACTTTCATTTCTTCTTTATTTGTGTTGGTTTCCTTTAATATTTTTCCATTTTTAGCGGATTTTTCAATGGTGCCCACAACCGGGTACAAAATTTTTTTTGTCAAAAAATTCCCATTTCACTAAATTTCTAATAAAACTTTTTTATTTAAAGGAATCAATTTAATTCCTTCACTGACAGTCACCTTAGACCTCTAGCTTTAAATTCGTACACATATATTTGAATAATATGCACATGGACAAATGTTATGAGGCAAAAACAAAAGGGTGCCCACAACCGGAACACTTCCCTTATTATTCATAAAAGAATTTAAATATTTATCAAAATAATTTAATTCTTGCGAAGAATTTTTTATAAAATTTTTTATATAATTGATTTTTTTCGACTAATTTTATGCAAATTCTAATTTAAATAATTAAATTCCAGAGAAATTTTTATTAATCATAAAAATAAGTGAATTCTTACCAAGATTTTTACAAAAATTTTTTCTAATATAATTGAATTTTTTTTGAAAATTTTATGAAAATAGTGGATATAAAAAATCATTGAAATGCGAATAAGCAAATAAGCAAAAAAATCATTAAACAATTCATTTTAATTATATTTGTAATATAATTTTGTCATTAACCGAAAATGGAACAATAAATATTTTGAAAACTTGATTTTTTTTACTTAACATAACCTCACTTTTTCAAGTTTTTTCTGGCTTTGAATTAAGCCTCATAATTAAAGATTAATTATGTTTAAACTAAATGCTTTTTTAGAAATGTGTTGAGGAGGAGATTGTCGAAAGGTATAGAAACTAATTTTAATTTTCAATAAGGAAAACAAAAGTTATTTAAAAAATACTGAAACCGTAGAGGGAATCCCTCCCTAGGTGTGGAACGGAGGGTTAAATCTAAAAAAGTATCCAAATAGTAGCTTCTCAGTAAGAAGTAAGGAATTGAGAAGAATTGGACATTTTTAACTTTTTACAGAAAATGTTAAATTATCAATTTTTATTAATTCCGTTTCTGTCCAATTCCTATGTATTCCTTTTTGAGACAAAGATTTCTTGAAAGTGAATTCCAATCAATTCCGTTTTAATATTTCTTTAATTTTTGTGAATTCCGAAATACTGTGTGATACTCGGTAAGTTTTATTCCTGTCTATTCCGTTTTAATATTTTGTAATTTTTTAATTCCTTTGAAGTTTGCAACACTTTGAGATAAGTGCTTCTAAAATTCGGTAGTCATAGTACAGTTTAAATAGCTGAGCGGACAAGCTGTTTGTCTCCGACAATGAAGCTTGACGGTTCAAATCTTCGAACCGTCAAATTTTTCTTCGCTTAAGATATTAAAACGGTATTCAAAAGAATAAACTTAGCTTCTTTTCGGCTTCTCCAAATGAAAATGAAAAAAATTGGTCACAAACAGAATTCAAAAGAATTAAAAATTTCGAATTCTTATTAATTCCTTACTTCTTACTGGGTTGGTGTAATTTAATAACTAAACTAGTATCGATCAACAAAATAATTATAATTTAATTAATGAAAATTGATTCAAAATTCAACTTACCAATATTTACATTGTTTCTCAGACACTGCTCTTTATACTGCTGCTGAAGCTCCTTGATTGCCTTGACGTTGGACGTTCCTTGATCGCATATTGTTAATATGAGTTCAAGACCAGTACCTTTAACTGCTTTTACATTTTCTTTGATACATACGACTAATTGCTCCCATCTTGTTCCAGAATTACAGAAGTAGTATGAAAAGGGTTTCTTCTCGCCGGTCTTCAAAGTTCTAATCATAAATACGAGGATATGATCCGCAAACTTACTGGTTCTTTTAGAACCAAAATCTTCAAATCCAAGAATTAAATCTCTTTGAGCATCATATAACACGTGCGGCATGAGTGACATTTCGTCCCACATCATTTCTGTCAGTTTTTGGTCAGAATCAAAATTTTCAACTTCTGACTTTAAATGTGTCATTAGGTTCCCATTAATTCCTGTATGCAATGTGAGATTGCACATAAATCTCCTCAAGCTTCTTATCGATGGACAAATCATTATTTTCCGCAAAAACCGATAAGCCTTTAGGGACACCTTATAAAGAGATAAAAAAAGTGCCTTTTGGCTCTTTGTAAATCGTTGTCCTTTTTTTTCTTTCCCTGCATTTCTAAGTTGCATATCAATTACATCATTTTGCATCGAAGTAAGTTTTTCAAAATTGGATGGCAGTTGTTTCTCCAATTCCTTAATTTTCATTCTAGCTCTACAAATAAATTTCAAATTTTCAAATTCATTTGTTTACAATTCAATTTTACAAAATTTCAATTATTCGTAAATTCTTTAATTAAATATGTATTGGAAAATAAAAACTTTAAATAATTTATCAAGTATCAAATTTTCAAAGATTTTAATCTGAAATCTTTTTAATATTTTTTTTAAATAACTGAAGTCTTTTAGAAAATTTTACGAAAATAATAGATATTGAAAATCATTGAATTGCGAACATTTTTTGAAAATAATTGGATTTCGGAGAAGAATTTAAATATTTTTAAAGATAATTGAAATTTTGATGAGAATTTTTAAAACTGTTTGAAAATAATCGAATTTCTGCGAAGAATTTTATTTCTTTTGAAAATAATTGAATTTCTGCAATCAGTTAAGTTGCACATAAAAGTCAGAATTTAAGTTTAATAATTAAATGTGTATGAGTTACAAATTTTATAAAATCGCTTTTTTTAAATTTTTCCAAATGCTATAAGACTGGGTTGCTTTAGTTTTAGCATTTTAAAATTGAATAATTTTCGAACTATTTCTTAAAATTCTAAGTTAAATGAACCTTAATTAAGCAGATTTGAAAAAAATAATTTCTTTGTTGAAAAAATACGTTCAATTTCATACCTTTTTAGACGTTGAATGGCATTAATAGAGTAGAACGGGGTGAAATAGCCACATTTTTACATTTTAATTTATAAAATCTGAATTAAAAATTTTTTTCTCAAATTTCCAAATGGGATTGAAAGTTTAGTTATTAAGCTTGAATATTCTTGACGGAAATATTTTTTATCCCATGAAAGGACTTAGTTATAAGAGTTTTACGAAACCTCTGCAAATGGCTTTTTTGTACCACCTGGTGGGGGGAGAAAGCCACCTTGCGATTTTATCAAAATATGTTATTAATTTTTGTAATTTTATAGTTTTCCTTTATTTACATGACAAATAATCTTATTTTTAACCCGGCGAGTATGAGGTTGGGCATGTCATGCCCCACACTTACTTAAACCTTATTAAATCCAAAAATTTTCACTATATCGTTTTGGCACTTCGAGTAGCTGAAGTTATGGGTTCATAAGAGAAGATGGTGATGTGGTGATAGTGTTGTGCAAATTATGTCTTAAATTACTTGGACGTAAACTTCATTTTGGCATAACATTTTGCCTATATGTGCACAACATGGGAGACTTTTTTGCCTTTAAATGAAAGAAAATTGAATCGTAATATACTCTAAAAAGCAGTATTATACTTCTTATTCTATACTGTTTAAAGTCCTAACTTTATAAAAGTGAAAATTTCATTTTATAAAAGTTTAAATATTTTATTGTTTTATTTAATCATATGATAAATATTAAGACAAAGACAATACCATAAATTAACTTAATATAGCCATATGTAACATTTATAAGCAAATTTACAGTCTGGGTATGTCATGCCCACCACATAGTCGGTGTAACAGTTTCGCGCCACATACTCGCCGGGTTAAAATATTTTAATAAATTTTAAAGAGCTTTCATCAAGGAAAATTGAATATTATGTTAAGTTTACCTGTTTTCGATTTACACTGCCAAGTTTTTGTACCTTTTTTTAAAGTCTTCCTTAAATTTTACCACAGATGCCATATTTTGTTGCAACCGTTTTTTCGTTGTTTATTTTTTAACGCACTTTATACTATTTTTTCGTCGTGTTTAATTAATTTTATTAAGTAAACACGCGAAAATTTGGTAAAATTAGAAGGTTAATTTAAGTAGAAAACAAATGAATTTCACATAATATTCAATGGATTTTTGTCCCTGGCTTTTTCACCCCCAAGACCAGTTTTTCTAAGAGCTAAAATAAATTTTAAATTCAGTTCAATTTCCAAAAATTAACATTGTATACGTTTTGAGTATAGTTTTCTCCTTATGTACAAACATTTACTTTTATTACCCGTTCATTTAAACAGGTTGTAATATGTTCGAAAAGTTCATCGAAATATTATACGCAGAGCAACTCAAAAATTAAAATTACAATAAAAATTATATTAATATAGGTACAACATCCAAACTAGTATCAAAAGTTGCGTATTAACTGATAGTATTTATATTCTAAATAGCTGATAAATCGGTTTAATAGTTTTCAAATAAAAGTCAAATGGCTTTTTTGCACCATGGCTATTTCACCCCGTTCTACTCTACATTTTCTAATTTTTTTTTTATATTGTGTAGATATTTTTGGCAATTGGAGTCAATGGAATATTATACGGCTTGCCAAGAGAAAATTTCTTCTTCTTTGTAGGAGGTACTGGGCTATCAAAATAATTTTCCGCACATGTTTGTAAATTTGGTTCGTCAAAATTATGCACTGAAAAAAAAGTGCTGTTGAATCAAATATCTCCATGCTATTGAATTTCCCGTCATTGATTCAATGACACATTTATTAATCGAAAAGTATATTGCTTAAAACGAAAAAATGAAACTGTTTAAATTAAAAGTACGGTACTGTAGAATTAATGATATTGTGCAAATTGTTTCTATAGTTCATCTATATATAGCAACAGAATAATTTATTGCTTCTTTGACATTATTCATTTGAAGCATCTAATAGATAAATTTGAAGAAAATGCGTGTGAATTTAAATCAAATGAAAAATTGTTTGCTCCAAAGAAGCACGCTCTGAAAACGAAAGCATATGCTTTCGTTTCAATGAGTGGTGCTATTGCGGACTGCCTATAGCATATGCTATAAAAATAAGAACACTATGTTTTGAGACATTGACAGGTACTAAATTTATTGAAATACTTACCCACATATATTTATATGTTTATTAAACCTGTCGTTTTTGAGATTCCAATATAAAAAAGTATTATTTAAATTCTTTTAATTAATTAATGACTAGTTAAATATAAATTCACTATATAAATTCCCTTATATACGCGAAAAATCTCGAACACGGTATTTAACCACAAAGTAAGTGCCCAAGGTTGAGAAGCGGATGTATTACATTGCAGCGCGGCGGTTCTCGTCTATCACGGAAGTTAAGCGTCGTTGGTCGCGGTTACTAAATGGATGGGTGACCGCTTGGGAATAGCCGTATTTTTCTGACTAAAAAAGATAAGTGTGTTTGAATGTGTATGTGTGTGTGTGTTTAGCCGTTGGAAAAAATGAAAATAATAATAAAGATGTATATGTTAGTGTGAAAAATTGAAAAAAATATGTGTATAAAAAGTGTTGTGTTAAAGGTGTGAGAATTAATTATAGTATATAAAAAACATGTGAACAAAAATTCCCTTTTTTCAATTTATCGTTAGTATATATTTAACCACATAAAAGAATTGAATTAACAGTATGGTGTTATTCAATCGATAGCAACAACTAAAAAAATTAAAAGTACAAATTTTTGAATCATAAAAATGATGCTTTTAAATTTAAAAGTTATAGTCATTGACTCAAAAGCATATACTGTTAAATTAAAAAATTTTGTTCATTGATTCAAAAGGAATACCTTCGAATTAACATAGTATGCTGTCAATTTGAGAAATATGCTTTTGTTTCAAAGAAAGTGATACTATCGAATCATTAGAATCGGTGCTTTCAAAACAACAGCATATACGTTAGGCAGCCCGTTATGACACTATTCAATGAATCAAACCCATATGTCATTGATTCAACAGCATTTTTTTCTCCGTGTGTAAAACGTTTTCTTCCGTTTCTATATTTTGACTATAAATTGGATAATTTATTCCTCGTAATTCTAAAAACGCTTTTTTGTCTGACTCTTTATCGATCATTGTATTTTCGAGTTTGCGCTTCTTCGGTGTCATCAAAGATGATTTTCTAATATCATCCGAGTGTGTACGAATTGATGAATACGTTAAACCTGGTGATATGTGTGAAGTCACAAAAGATGTCGTTTGGCCAAGTTGATAATTTTCATTTTCGAGAGGCAATGAAATAATTTTTTCCTTTAACCCATTTTCATATGTTTCTGGTGGCGGTAAATTTTTCGTTGGAATAGCATCTGCTTTTAATCTTGGACGTAAAATGCCTCCCATGTAGGCATTTTCATCAAAATGCTCTTGGCACAATTTAAACTTCTTCTTGTAAATATCAGTATAAGAAATATTATTTAATGATGGATTATTTATTGCTTCCAACCATTTTTGGCCCTGAACGGAATCTTTTGGAAATGCGTGGAATGTCGTTACGCCGGTCGATTGACAGTTTGGGACAATACACTTCCTCCAATTCATACCGTGCACTCGAGGTTCCATTGCTCTAAAACATTTTTTTTATTATAAATATAACTTTGACAGCAATATTTAGAAAATAATATTTAACGTGCACTAGAAGACCACCTTAATTTTGTTTTTCTATATTCTTCTAAAAATAAAGCGATCGTGTAATTTTAAAATTAAGTAAAATTTTTACTTTACAAGTTGTGAAATTTAAGAAACGTTTGTCACAATTATTGACAGATTGGTGTCATTTCAGGTTTGCATTTTCCTAAAGTGTTGAACGTTCAAATAAACAAAATTTCTTTTTTTTATCAAATTTAAATATTATATATTTAATTTAATCTGTCAAGTATTAAAAAATAAATCATCCATTTTCTAAATGTTTAGTTTTTATTTTTGTTTCTTATAAAAGTCGGAAATTTTTTTAAATATTTATTTTGAACGTTCAGCACATTTTTATCATTACTTCATCGATACTATCACAATACCCTCACAATTCGTTATTGACAAATTGAAAAAATTAAAAATAAATTATCGAAGTCTAAGTTTCCACAATACATTCGTGAATATTACTAACACCGTTTACCTTCAGTTTCAATTTTTAATTTCGATCTTAAAACAATTATTTTTGTGACGATTTTAATTCTGCGATTTTCTCACTTCGAATGTTGAAAATGTCATTATGCGCTGTATAAGGAATCCTATCCAGTCGACCTGATTTTTCCATGGGATTGATTTAAGTGTACTAGTCTGAAACCAAAATCTTTTACTTTAATCACTATAATGCAAATTA